CAAGCTTTGAACATATTATTTGGACATGTTACTTCCATACTCTTGGGTATAAATCTTGGCCTAGAATAACTCTTGGGTTTTTTTTTGGTGTTTGTTTATTTATATGTTTATTTTGTTTTGAGACAGAGTCTCTGTGTAGTTCAGGCTGGCCTTGAACTCACTGTGTAGCCCAGCCTGGCCTCAACTCACAGTGATCTTCTTGCCTCAGCCTCCCAAGTGCTGGGATTACAGGCGTGTGTTGGCACACCGGGCTCCAAGAATGTTTTATAGGGCCAAATCATGAGGCGGATACAATATGGGTCAAACTATAATCAACTAATAAGACTGCAAGTATAGCCATTTAGCTAGTATTGATCCAATAGTGAAGCAGGGCACGTAGCAAGGGCATAACATTATTAACCTTGGTCAATAATCCATAGTTTTAGTTTTAGTAGTCTTATTCTTAGGGGGTGGGATAAGATGGCTCAGCCCTAGTAAGATAATGGCTTATTTCATTGGAAAATTCCAAAAGAGTGGTATCAATTACAGGACAATCTCAAACTTCTATTTATCCTTACGGAAGTATGTGAATCTGGTCATTGTGACTTTAATCCCCAGGTCTTGCCTCCTTCAGATGCACCTCCGCCTACAGTTTTGATGTGTCCTCATCTTCTGCACTGACTCCCTTGAGGGCCTGGCCCTCCCTGCTTGCCTATTTGTGTGTGTGTGTGTGTGTTTTGTTTTTCTTCTGGTATCCGGAATCGAACTCACGACCTTGTGCTTGCCAGGCAGGCACTGTGCTGCTGAGCTAAATCCCCAGCCCCCTGCCTGCCTATTAATTGCTATCTAACTTAGCTGCTTATAATAGAGACAGGGTCTCACTAAATCATTAAGTAGCCCAGGCTGGGCTTGAATTTGTAATCCTCCTGCCTCAGCTTTCCAGGGTGCTGTGATTACAGGTGTGCACCCCCATGCCCACTTTTATGGACTAATGATTTTTGACAAGCATGCCGAGATCACACTAAATGTGACTGTCACCTAAGTAGTGTTTGGAAAACTAGATATCCACACAAAGATCTTTACCTTACACCATGTAGAAAAAATTAACTCAAAATGTATTAATGGCCTAAAGGTATGGCCTAAAACTGTAAAGCTAGATGAAATCATATTGCTCTGCCATAAAGAGAGATAAATTTGAGTCATTTGTAGGAAAATGGATGCGCCTTGAGATCATGATGTTGAGTGAAATAAGTCAGATACACAAGCTTAAGTACCGCGTGGTTTCTCTCATAGGGAAACCCAAAGTATAAATAAAAAGCAAAAACAAAAGATGGATAGGAGCTGGGAATTTAGCTCAGCGGCACAGCGCCTGCCTGGCAAGCGCAAGGTCGTGAGTTCGATTCCTGGTACCAGAAAAAAACCAAACCAAAAAAAAGGATAATAGGAAGTAAGGAGATAGATCATTCTCAAAGTGGAAGGGATCAAGGGATGGAGGGAAGGGGGAACTAAGGGGTGGGGAGTGAAGGCAGGAAATGAGATGTTCCAGCTCCAAGTAAGGAATGTGAACATGTACTGCAAACACGTATGAAAAACGAAAAGGAGGAGATCAAGGGATGGGTAGAAAGGGACGAGGAAGGGAAGAGAATGAAAAAGGAAGCAAGATGTGCTGTGCCGCTTCCTCACAAGTAGTCGTTATGGAGGACAACATGTGCTAATCAATAAAGAAAAAGAGAAAACCTGGAAGAAATGAGGGGAGAGCTTCATGTCACTTGGCAAGGATTTCTTGGATGTGATACCAAAGCACAGGCGACGTGACAGATGGGGCGACATCAAACTTAGACTTCTGCACATCGGAGGAAACAAAAGGGCAACGTCAACCCTGGGGGCAGGCTTGCAATTCGTAATTATAAAATATATAGTGAGAGAAAATAATTGCAAATCATAAATCTGATAAAAGGTTAATGTTCGGAATAGATAAAGAAGTCCTACAATTCAACAATAAAGTAAAAAAAAATAATAATAATAAAGTAACCCAATTTAAAAATGGGCAAAGAATTGGAATACAGTATCATTCCAAAGAAGATAGACACATGGCCACAAGCATAAGAAAAGAGCTCAACATCACCCTTCATTAAGGATATGCAAATCAAGTGGTAAAGAAAGAGAAAGAAAAAGTGTTAGCAGTAATGTAGAAAAATAAGGAGCCTAGCCAGGTGTGGTGGCGCCTGCCTGTAATCCCAGCACTCGGAAGGCTGAGGCAGGAGGACTGTTGCAAGTTCGAGACCAGTCTGCGTTGCAAAGTGAGCTGAAGGCCAGCCTGAACTACATAGCGAGACCCTGTCTCAAAAGAAAAAAAAAAAAGAAAAAGAAAAGAAGGAACCTGTGTGTTGCTGATGGGAATGTAAAATAGCTTGGCCACTACACAAAACAGTATAGAGGTTTCTCAAAAGACTAAGCATAGAAATATGTATGATTCAGGAATCTCATCCAAAAGCTCTGAAGAGCGAATTGGTGTTGTTATTATTTTCAGGGCTAGGGATTGAGCCTTAGGCTTCCACATGGGCAAGTGTTCTACCTCTGAACTACACCGCCAGCTCTGAACAGGGAATCTTGATGGGTTCTTTCCATACCCATATTAACTGCAGCATTATTTACAATAGCCAGAAAGTGGAAGCAGCTCAGATGCTCCCTGACAGATGAATGGATAAAGAAAATGTGATACGTCCATACAGTGGAATATTATTATTGAGTCTTTAAAAGGCGGGGAGGGGGAAGAGCTGGCTACGCAGTGAGTCTGTAGTTCTAGCTACTCAGAAGGCTGAGGCACCAGGACTGCTTGAGCCCAGGATTTCAAGGTCAGCCTGGGTGACATAGCAAGACCCCATCTCAAACACAAAAACAGAAAAATTGAGACAGACAGACAGACAGACACGAAGACAGAGAGAAGGAGAGTAATAAAATCTCCCTGGGGTTAGTGGTGTAGCTCGACAAGAAGCCCTGAGCTGGATCCCTAAGCACCACCAAAAAAGAAAAAAAAAAAAAAACAAGCTACAAAGGACATTTTTCACTCATTACTGGTTTACACTGCTAAACAGGTGTGTGTGTGTGTGTGTGTGTGTGTGTGTGTGTGTGTGTGTGTTTTGGTGGATTTAGGATCATGCCAGAACAGATTGGTGAATCATAAACTTTCTGTTCTGTTTTTGGCCTTGTGACTGGCTCAGACAAGTTTTATCTTAGACCAGTTTAAATCAAATGAAATTCTTCCCATATACTAAACATAATACGAACTAGACACACGTGTTTTAGAAATAATCAATGGAAGTGACTTTAAGCATTATGTAAGTGGAGAAAAAAAAAACAACACTGCAAAAATTGCAATCTGGATGGCTGCCGGTAGTTTTATAATGGGGGAGGGGGAGAAAAGAGCCCGAAGGCTATGCAGCTGTGCACTGATTAATCAGAAAGCGCTGAAAGAAACTTCCGTTCACATTATGAACTGTCTGTGATAACTTGCTAGTTATGAGAGCATTTTACAGCAATTTTTTTGTTTTATTTTTATTTTTTGAGACAAGGTCTCGCTATGCAGTTGAGCTCACTTTGTAGCCCAGGCTGGCCTTGAACTCGCAACGAACCTCCTGCCTCAGCCTCCTGAGTGCTGGGATTATAGGCGTGCGCCACCATGGCCGGCTACAGCAATTTTTAGCGTTTCCTAGATATTAAATTTATAAAGATACAAAGCTGACATATATTATGTGTTTGTTTTTGTTGTTGTTCAGTGTTGGGGATGTAACCTAGGGCCTTGGTCATGCTCAGCAAACTCTATTACTGAGCTACACCCCTAGCCAAAAAGCTGCTGTTTTTAAAGCTCTATAGCAGTGACCTCTCATGTCCCACCCACCAAACACGGCCCCTTAGGGTCACAGCTTTTAAGTACGTACTCCCTGAAACAACCACATATAGGTGTTTTTTCCAATAAGCTAACAAGTAAATTTCCAATTAACCACCATTCTGATTTTTTCTTTTTCGTGTGTGTGTGCTGGGGGTTAAACTTAGGGCCTTGTGCCTGCCGGGAAGAGCTCTACCATTGAGCTACGTCCCCAGGCCCGCCATTCTAATTTATATACCCGGATCACACAAGCCCCAGAAGACATTTATTAGACTGCAGAATCCCCGTGAGCTCGAAAGAGAGTGGGAATCTGCCAATTGATTTATTGGTCTCTAAGGCCACTCACCCTTCCGGGGTTTGTTTTGTTTTGTTTTGTTTTCCGGTACCAGGAATCGAACTCACGACCTTGCGCTTGCCAGGCAGGTGCTGTGCCGCTGAGCTAAATCCCCAGCCCCCTCCTTTCGGAGGGGCCTCAACACTGGATCCCTGGATTCTCTGCCTCGACTTCCCAAATAACTAAGGCACTTCCCATCGACAGCCCCTGCTCTGCATCCCCGCCCTCGCTTCAACCCTCCTCTTTCCACCGCACTGTGGTTTGCAGAGGAAACCAGCTCACCTGACTCAGCTACCCGGGAATCAACAGATTTCCGTGGCAGCCACCCCTGCGGTCTTTCGCTGCTGCCTCCGGTGACCTCTAATACTGCTCTCCTGGGTTAGAGAAGAATTTGTCCTTTCCAGAGAGGGCTGCATGAAAAACTCGATGCATTTAGGACCCTGACATCATTTGAAGCACTTATGTTCTAGGCCAAACTACTAAGCGCCGAATGTGGGTTGGTTCGCGCCCTCCTCAAATCAAACTCCGCGTCTCAGCTGAGGCCAATGAGCCAGAGGCCGCTCGGCATTTGCAGGATCCCAGGCCCAACCCACCACGAGACCTGCTTAGGGCCGGGTGGTCCGGGCCCCAGCCGCGCGAGTGCCGCACCCCCTCGCAGGAAAGTACTTCTGCGGCAGCCGGGGTGTGAGGAGCTCAGCAGCAGTAGGCTACACGCTGCCTCTGGAGACACGTGACGGCGCGTGGGCGTGGTGATGGGCGGGGAAAGGGGCGTGGCTCGCACAGGCCCCGCCCATGGCGGTTAAGTAGCCTCGCGCGGCGGGGCCGCAGGTTTATCCAGGCACCCGCGGAGTTCGGGTCGGAGTCCCTGCGGCCAGGCTATGGCCACGGTGCAGGAGAAGGCGACCGCGCTGAACCGCTCGTCTCTGCACGTCCCCGCGCAGAAGCCTCCGGGTACGTGTCGCGGGCCCTGTGGGGGCGGCGCGGGCCGGGCTGGGGCGCCCCGACGGTGGCCCCCGTGCCGGGTGGCGGGACCGTGCGGGGCGAGCCGGGCACAGCTGCGGCCCCTCGGCCAGTGCCTGCGGGGCGTGCGGCGCCCCGCGCCTCCGAGCTTGTGGGGCCCGGCCGCAGAGCCGGCGCTAACCGAGATTTCCAACCTTCAACTTCGCGGCGCCTGGGTCCCTGGGTCTCCGGGACAGGCTCCACGTCATGACCTGTGACAAGGGTGATCCGTGGGGTTGGGACAGCTGTTTGCCCCGTCTTCGCTGCGTTACAGGGCCGGGGTCGAGCGCCGTTTGGGGCCACTTTGCTGTCCAGGTTGGTAGGAATCTGCGGCATACATGCTCTTCTCCAGACAACCCCGGGAGAGGTGGGAGGTTGCTGTTTAAGAAGTTATCTTGGCAGGAACTTGGCCTAATAAATACCTCAAGGTATTTATTAACACTTCGTAAATCAGAAGTAGTTAAGTGAAGGAGCTTTGACCTTTTAAAAAAACACATGACAATAAGAGATGCGATGGTGGATTCTGCCACCAGCTTAACCATATCTTTTGGGGGCAGTTGGTTTAGGCTCTTGGTTTTTCTTTGTTTTCTTTCTTTTTTTTTTTTTTTTTTGTCTTTTTGAGATAGGGTCTTGCTATGCAGTTCAGGCTGGCCTTGAGCTCACTTACATAGCCCCAGGCTGGTCTCGAACTCCCAACGATCCTCCTGCCTCAGCCTCCTGAGTGCTGGTATTACAGGCACGTGCCACCACGCTGGGCTCTTGGTTTTTCTTTAAGTGTCCAAACAAATGAACACAAGCAGACAATCAGCCCTGACCTTAGCGTAACTACAGCTTAGTAAAATGGTGACTCAGGTGACTATGAAGATACTCAGATAGCACTTGGCTTTTTGTTATCACTCTTTCCCCTTTCGGGAGCAGCAAAGTAAGTGTCGGGCCACAATTGATTGCCTATCTGACAAAAGCTTTGCTTTTGTAAAATGCCAACCACTGAAGTCGTGGTGACCCTTAACTCCAGGTCACATGGCTGATCACAGCTGTCCTGCTTTTGTGTAGGCCTTACTAATCAACTTTCCTTGGAATTTCATAGTGTTAAGGATACCTTGTGATAGAGAACCGCTTTGCGTTTGTGCTTTTGCAAAACAGATTATAGTATTGACTGTCATGGTTATAGTCAGACTATCTCCTTGACTGACATTGCGAAGGAAGTACTTAAGGATTTGGAAATTTAAAACTTAATGAGATTGAAAACAGTCTGGAAGTCTGCAGACTCTTGCTGAGGGAATGAAATTTCCAAATTTCATCTGATTAAAGACATTGCACCCTGTCTTCTCTGACAGCTGAAATAATTGATTCTGGACTTTGGACATTTGTGGACAGGGTTTTAGATGGTATAAAGGGATCTGTGGTCAGAAACGAAGTACATAATTGTTAGAGGGGAGGGTTGACGTGCTGGTTAGCAGGTTTGAACCAAAGGAAGAGACTACCGTCCTCGACACCTGGATCCAGTGCCTGTTCTCATTTTCCTTGCTTGTTGCAGCTGGAAGCCCTGTCTGTTAGCATCGGTTAGCTCTCTCCCACCCTGGAGTTACCCGGTCACAGTCCTGGCCAGCGAGGTAACACAAGCCTCCGTACCATTCCCTTTCTGTGTGTTCCTGCAACCAGCTGTGTACTTTTCCTTTCAAGCCTTAAAGGAGCTGCGGTAACCAAGGGATCTGATTTATGAAGAACTAAGGTTTGTGTTAACCTTTGGCCAGTACTTAGAAGATACTTTTTTTTTTTTTTTGATACTTGTCTTTTAACACAGACAGACAAGACAGTGGTATGCTCTTGTGTTATCCCTATATACTGTAACCTAATGCTTTGAATTTGCCTGGTGTCACTTTTCCAGGGAGCTCAAAATACTTCCCATATGTTATCATTCTTCTGTGTGAACCAAAGCAGGGCCCAGTGCCTGCTTATGCAGATACTTCTGTTTGGATGTCTTACGTTGTTCTTGGTAGTGGAGCTTTATTTTGTATATTTCACCTGCCTGCAGCTTTCTTTTTAGAGACAGTCTCAAACGTTCAGCATATCTGTAATGTTGAAAAGGAGGAAGGTAGGGGCTGGGGATTTAGCTCAGCGGCACAGTGCCAGCCTGGCAAGGGCAAGGTTGTGAGTTCGATTCCTGGATTCCGGGTGGGGGGGGGGTGCAGGGAGGCGAAGGAGGAAGGTAAACTCTGGACTACCAAAACCAGTACCCAGTAAAACTGTTGCAGTCTGGCTTGGTATTGGTGTTATAGGCAGTTTCTTCCATTCAATCAGAGCTGCCTGGTTTAACTACCCCAAACACAATTCTTTTTATACTTGTCTATTTTCATAAGGTTTTGGTTACTTTTCAGTAAATATAGTCATTTTCCTTTTTCACAATTCAGTGAGTAGTGTTTCCAAACTTTTTTTTTTGTCTTTCTTAAGACAGGGTTTCCCTATGCAGTGCAGGCCGGCCTTGAACTCACTTTGTAGCCTAGACTGGCCTCAAACTTGCAGTGATCCTCCTGCCTCAGCCTCCTGAGTGCTGGGATTACAGACATCTCCTACTACACTGAGCTTCTTTTTACTTTTTTAATATCCTTAAAATGTTATAGACTTACAAAAAGCTATGAGGTTAGTATATAGAATTCCCATATGCCTGACATTTAATTTCTTGTGTTACTTTACAAGGAAATGGTCCACTTGCCAGGTTAGCGAACCAATATTGTTTCATGATTATTAACTAAAAAGACCCACGCTTTACTCAGATTGTCCTAGTTTTTGCGCATTGTCCTTTTTCTCCTCAAGGGTTCCCGTCCAGGATATCAACACGGAGTTACCCTGTCAGTGACAGTTCCCCCTTCTTGAGTTACACACCATTCCTGGCTGGGCACGGAACTAGCCGCATGAGCATATGTGGTCTCATGACCCTCACGGTAACTGAAAGAAGCGGAGTCAGTGCTGCCTTGCCGCGGAAGGGTTAGGCAGTTTGCCCCATCAGCGGGAGGCAGTGGACCCAAGAACAGAACACAGGTCTCTGGGACGCGAAAGTCCACGCTGATCCGACTCTGTTCACGGCACCTGGCACTGGGTCCGCTTTGGGAGCACAAGTCTCCATGCCTCAAGAGTGTTCGGCGCCTGGGGCTGGACCGTGCAGTCCTAGGATGTTCAGCAGCACGCACGCCTGGTCTCCGTCCAGCAGGTGCCAGTAGCGCTTCCCCCCCCCCCCACAGCGATAACCACAAGCGTCTCCAGATGTGTCCTTTCAGGGAGGACAGCCCCCTGAGAACCACTGGCCTGAAACGCTTTTTTTTTTTTTTTTTTCCATGAGATAGGAAATTATATTTCAACAAAATCATAGAAAATAAATAGGAAGCAGAATTAATAAAAGTCTTCAAAATTAGAGCAATGTGACAAGAGAATTAAGAATAAATATCAACACAATATATAATGACAATAAATTAATAGTATTGGTTCACACACAAAAAAATTGTATTGGTACACTAATTGTCAGGCAAATAAATAGAAGATCCTGTAAAACAAAATTAGATTGGTTTCCACAATATGTAAATATCTTAAACCCTTCTTTAAGACTGTTTTCTTCGTTCGCAATCTACAATTAATAAACCTTCATGAACCAAGTGTTTTATGTGAGGCAGTCTATAAAGCAGTTAAATAATTTGAATCTCCGTAAACCATAAGAAAATTTGAAAGAAATCGAGTATTAATGCACTGCTTCTTAAAGTTTTATGAAAAAAAAATACTGTCTAAAATTTTTTAGTCCAGTCTGAAGCCGGAGGATGAAAACAAAATTTTATATATTCTTTTGTCGTTGCTGAGGCAGGGTCTCACTATGTAGCCCAGGCTGGCCTCAAACTCACTGCGAGCTTCCTGCCGCAGCCTCCCAAGTGCTGGGATTACAGGCATGCGCCACCATGCCTGGCTGTATGTTCATTTAGAGATAGCAGGTTTTAGTAATTTTGTGTGTGCATTCATGTTACACTGGAATCCAGCTATATATGTATTGATCTCCTGCTAAGGATTTAATATAATCCCACTATTTGAGTGATTATAGAATTAGTTTACCCACGCATAGGTTTTCACAGTAAGGCGGGAGCTCCCGTGTAATATTGGAGTAAATTTTCTGACATGTCTGTTTTATGACTTGATTTTAAAGGAATTATTAGTAATAACTTGATTATTTAGTGTACATCCTTAGAAATGAAGATGATTAATACTATTTTAATTATGTGTTCATATTCAATTTAATTTTCTTAATGTTGGTAAACTAAATTGTTGGGGTTCAGATATGGGTGAAAGAGGCAGGTCTTTCTTTTGTGAAATAACTATTGTTTCAAGCAAATAAAGATGAGACCACTGTAAAAATTAATGCTAAGTACCCTAGATTTACTTAGTGCTTACAGGAATGTGTAATGTTGGAGATCTAGTATAAAGTCACTTTAGAAGCTGGGTCTGGTGATGCATGCCTGTATTCCCAGCCCTTGGGAAACTGAGTCAGGAAGATTGCTGTGAGTTCAAGGTCAGCCTCAACTATAAAGCCAGAGAAACCCTGTATCAAACAACAGAAAATTTTTCTTCAGATCCCCTTCTTAGAAGACCACCTTCCAAGTTTTGCGCCTGATAAAGTCAAATTTGTCCCTACAGTTTTTTTTGTTTTTTCGTTTTTTTTTTTTCTGTCTTTTTAAGACATGCAGTTCAGGCTGGCCTTGAGTTCATTTTGTAGCCCAGGCTGGTCTTGAACTTGCACGATCCTCCTGTCTCAGCCTCCTGAGTGCTGGGATTATAGGCGTGCGCCACCACCCCCAGCTGTGTTTTTTTTACCCATAGATCTTTCATATTCTATCTAGAATTCAGTGTACTTAAACGCAAAAAGTGTACCTTCAGGGTTTATGTTCCTATGAGATACAGTTAATATCTGAAACCAA